GTGGCTATATTTGCAAATATCAAATTAGAAGATTTAGTCCAAGCATGCAAAGAAAACTTGATGTCACATAACAATGGGAAAAGTACATTAGATGTTGGGTATTTAGTCCGTGAAAATGCATTTGTGACAGTGTAAAATAGTTTTAATCTCTCACAAATATCACGAGCTATATCCCAATTCTCATCATTTGGTGCACAAGAGAAATGAGGTTCTCGTTGTTGCAATCGATAAAACACATCTTTATATTCTAAAGCAACCGTAAGCATGAAATATTTAGAGTTCCAACAGGTCTTACAATCAAGCAATAATTGTTTGGAGTAATCTAAACCCAAATGCCTCGCATTCTCCTTAAAAGTTTGCAACCTTTTTAGTGTGGCTGTCCAAAAGGAAACACTACCTCTAACCCTTTCAATTCCATCACCAATAACCCTCAAAATCTTGGACAATTAGATTTAAAATGTGAGCACAACAACACATGTGAATTAGCTTCCCATGCAATAAAAGATGACTAGGATTTAGCTTGGACATAATGATATCAATCATACCATCATTTGTAGAACAATTATCAAGAGTCAATGATGACAATTTTCTCTCTAAATTCCAATCAAATATGCAATTCAACAATTCTTTAGAAAGAACAACTTATGCATGTGGACAAGGCACATAAGCAAACCTAAGAATTAAAAAATATTGCATAAAAAAGTATTAAGATATAATTCATAAGAAATAATTTATGTAGAGATAATTAAAGTGATATACCTTAAGATCAAACTTTGTAGCCAATTGTTGCTAATGAAATGTGATGTGATTGTCATATATCCTTTCTTTTGGTTTGAAGCTATCCACATGTCGGTAGTCATTGCAACACCACTTGAATTTTTCTTCAAAATATCCATTATGTTGGACCTTTCCAAAATATAAATCTTCATGATATCACTTCTAATTGTATTTCAGGAAGGAATCTTGAACAATGGTTGAAGGGTAGTTGAATATCTTTTAAAACCAAAATGACCAACCATTGATATTGGATATTCATGCATAATAATCATATTAGCAAGCTCTTTCCTTGTAGCTTCTTAGTCAAATATGTAATTACTTATACACATTTTACCATTTGCTTTACATTGTTGTTGCAACAAAGCTTGTTTTCTTACATTTTGAAAGGGTTTCATTTTGCAAATCTTGTGGTGGTCATGTAGATGCTTAGTTCCATTTTTTGCTTTGTCCTCCCAGAAGCTTTTTACAGTAATTACATTATGCCTTATCTAATCCATCCACCTTAACCTTATGAAAATGCTGCCAAACTATTGATTTTAATCTCTTATCACCAACTTTAACTTCACATTTAGTTGCAATGTCTGTTGGAGGTTCAAGTTCATCATTTTGAACATGAGAGTCTTTTAGTGAATTTATAGGTGATGGTGACTTAAGAGGAGTATTAGTATCTAACCCACCAACTTCCATTACAGACAGACTATTAGCTACCTGAGTAGAAGAATTTCCGCAGTTCATTTCTTGAGACTCCATACACTTATTTGAAGAAAAAAATCACAAACTCACAGTGATGAGCAATGGATTAAAATAAATATAATAACATTGACTTTTCAACTCATTTGATAGAGATATCAAACTATTTAAAAAAAAACATATATCAAAGATGGGTTACAAAAAAAAAAACACTTGCATATAAACCTAAAAAACTAGAAAAAACTAAATATTAGAGTCTTAAGTTTATAAAGTAGATGAATCAATAAACTTACTATAATAGGTGAGATATTGAGATCGTTGCTTTGGTCATAACTGAGGCAAGGTTGCCGGTGAGATCGAAGGTAAACTACGAACTTGGATATGGAAGAGCAAGTCACAAGTGGGTGACTGGGTGAGGCTTTAGAAGAACGAAATCTAGATGTTTAAGTGAGATGGGTACTGATGTGTTTCTGCTCATGGTTTGCTTTGTGCACAACAATTGTATATCTCTTTTACCAAAACAAAGAATGAAGTATAAGATTCTTGTCTAGTTAATTCTCCGACGTGTGCCCGGCCTACTTCCTCCGGCGAGTGTCCGGCCTACCCGTTATCCTTATATTTTCTTCATCTTGTTGTAGTTAACAAGCTTCCTACCTCTTGTTTTATAACAAGCTATTGTTCGGTTTTCCAGCTTCTGTGGATTACGTTGCTTCCCTTCTATTTATCCCATCGTTATCGTAGGTTTTTATTTTTTATTTTTTATGAGAAATCCTACCAACCTCATTAATGAGAAATCCCACCAACCTTATTCATGGCATTGAATGCTAGTAGATGGACTCCTCTTCATATATCCTTGAAACTAGCTTATTCAGAGTATGCTTCAACCTTTTTCTACAAGTAATACACCCATCCAGCTGCATCATCTCCTTCTCGACTTTGTTCATATCTTGTTTCTATTTTCCTTCCCACAGACCTCATGGCCTTAAGCAGTAGGGGCAAAGAACCGTTGGAGACACAATATGAACATCTGAGTTTACAGGATGGAGTGGAAGTTGATATGCCATTTGGAGATGACGAAGCTTGGAACGCCCTTGATGACGAAGTGTTCACTCTAGTAGGCACACTGCTGACAGATAAAGTAGTGAATTCAACTTCTTGAAGGAGATTTCAAATAACCTTTAAAAATAACCTTTTCATTTTCCAGTTCTTTCACGAAAAGGACATACGTAGGGTTCGAGTGGACGGACCCTGGTCTTTCGAGCAGCATCTTCGCATTCTGTATCAGCTTCAGGAGAATGAATCCCCGTTTGACGCTGACCTATCCAAGGTAGAGTTTTGGTTTCAAATACATAAAATTCCTATAAGACTGATCAACCTCAAAATGGCGGAGTTCATAGCTTCACAGTTGGGTGACTTCGTCAAGGCCGACTTCGAGAACTTGACGGGACCTGGATTGAGTTATCAAGTTGAGAGTTTGCATGGATATTACAAGGCCTCTAGTAAACGTATCAAGATAAGGTGTGCTGCCGGAAAAGTTCTAAGCTTGGAGTGCAAGTATGAAAGACTTCCCACCTTCTGTTTCATTTGTGGTTTAATTGGACATAGCGAGAAGTTTTGCCTAAAGGATTTCGATTCCATCAAAAAAGAGGTCACTAGAATGTATGGTCCAGAGCTTAGAGTAGTTAGCAAACGTCAAAATCCTTAAGCGAACATGTGGCTCCTCTCTCAGTGCCCTGATCGGAGCACCACGCCAGAGAACAGTCTGATCGGGAACGTCAACCCAGATCACCATCAGGCGAGAGGCCCTAAGTACGAGGTACCCAGTGGACAAGAGTTTGCATGGTTTTTACCCAGCGGGTAATCCTCAAACAGCTAATGTGCAGAGGCAGTCGACAGTGATCAGCTGATGGGTGACACATTCACTTCTTCTCAGAGCATAATTGGAACCACCAGAGGCAAAGAGGTGGGAATTAATGCGCATGGAACTATAGATGCCAGGAAGATGGACAAGGTCTTAAATGAGCATTTAATGAGAGGGGGAATGCAACCTACCAATGGACAAGGACCTTAAACCCCTCAACCCACCCAGCCAGATGTGCAATCTATTTGGGCCATTCAAATTCAGTCAACCCAACCTTGCAATCCTGTTCAATTTGGGCTTGGAATTCATGACCAAATTCCTAAAGACCAAGTCCAAAAGAGAAAAAGAATTGATTCGAGTAGGATTGGAGAATCTCAAGGCATCTAGATGGATAGTGTTTCTGACGGTTCAGCTTTCTCAAAAAACTTGCTAGAGGCGGGTCATGCTTCACAGGCCCGCCTAAACAAATGAGTCTTATATCTCGGAATTGTCGAGGGCTTGGCAACCCTGCGACGATTCAGGTTCCGGTGGACATGGTCCACTCAAAGAGGCCAAACCTTATTTTTCTTATGGAAACTAAATTATGTGCTGCGAGAATGGAATCTATTAAATCCTAGGATTTGAGTGCCTATTCACAGGGGATCCTATTGGTCTAAGTGGTGGGCTGGCTTTATTGTGAAGAAAGGAGCTGGGTTTGGACATCATGGGTTGCAGGGGGAACTCTTGCATCCAGTATGCCACTACTCCTTGAAGTCTTCCATGCAAGCATAACCATGTAGTAAAAGCAAACTTCAGCGGGATAAATCTCTTCCAAATGAACCACATGGCAAAATTTCTAGGGCTTTGGGGGCGGATTGCTTCATACACAACCGAAGTGTTCATGCCCTTCGGTCCTTTCCACGAGGTCAACTTGGTAATGCATCCCGTAGTACTCCCAAAGTTGTGTACAAGGGAGTCTTTAACCTTTGTCAAGATGCGCATGAGGGCTGACTCGTTCATTCCTGGCTTCCATATCCAGAAGTCCACGTCCCATAAGTAGAAATCATGGATAAATTTTCATTGCGTTTGTGAATGTTCAAATAGTTTTAGTCAGGAAGACATTATTCCACTGTATCAGGTTGTGCAAGCCATGTCCACCCTCCTCCTTGAGCTTACAAATTACATCCCTTGCTACAAGAGCCCTCTTACCACCCCACAAGAATTTTCGACATAATGATATAATGTGTTCAATGACTATGGGTGGCAGTAGGAACTCTTGCATCCAGTATGCCACTACACCTTTGATCACCTTTAATATAAGTTTTAGCTTACCTGCATACAAGGTTGCAAAACATGTTAGCCGCCTCCTAGGCGCCCAAGGGGTGCCTAGCGCCGATTTATTTATTTGTTTTTAAATTTATTTATTTATTTTTTATTTAAAAAAATAAAAATTAAAAACTGTGAAATTCACTAATAAAACATATGGTTCCTCAAGGTTTTTTATTACAAATTATTTATATAAGTGGTTGCAAAATAGTTTTGAATATTGTTGAAACCATCTACATACATAAAAAACTAAACTTAAGAGCAAACGAAGCATTTTTTTGGTGAAATTAGAGGGCCAAACTGCTATTCTCACGTACGCACAGGAACATCGTCTAAAGGCAGTGAAGCCGTGAATCTACCTTCATATCTACCCCATATTTGGATAAAACTTGTACATCACTTGGTATACATTCTTAAGGATGGTGGTGGATGTACGGTTAACATCTGCAGCTACATTATCATAGTAGAGAGCATTTCTCGTCCTCCATAAATGAAAGACCGAAGCCATGATTGCAAGTACACACATTTTTGACCGAGGACGGGTTCCTCGCGAATCTCTATGGTTCCGTTTGATTGCTCCGTTTATCAAAAACGTGTTCCTTGTAATGCCAACCCATTTACTTAGATTTTCCCACACCTGTTTAGAGAATGTGCAAGTGAAGAATAAGTGGTTGATATTCTCCATGGCTACTTCACATAAAGAACACTTCTTGTCAATATCAATGAAGTTGATGGCGTTCTTTATAGGAAGTCTTCCATGCAAGCATAACCATGTAGTAAAAGCAAACTTCAGCGGGATAAATCTCTTCCAAATGAACCTCATGGCAAAATTACTAGGATTGTGAGGGCGGATTGCTTCATACACGCCGAAGTGTTCAAGCCCTTCTGTCCATTCCACGAGGTCAACTTGGTAATGCATCCCGTAGTACTCCCAAAATTATGTACAAGTGAGTCTCTAACCTTTGTCAAGCCACGCATGAGGGCTGACTCATTCCTTCCTGGCCTCCATATCCAAGATCCATAAAGTTTCATTGCGGTTGTGAATGTTCCAGATAGTTTTAGTCAGAAGGCATTATTCCACTGTTTCAGGTTGCGCAGGCCAAGTCCTCCCTCCTCCTCGGGTTTACATATTACTTCCAATGCTACAAGAGCCCTCTTACCACTCCACAAGAATTTTTGATATAATGATATTATGTGTTCAATGACTGTGGGTGGCAGTGGGAAATCTTCAATCCAGTATGCTACTTCTCCTAGGATCACATTTGATATAAGTTCAAGCTTCCCTGCATACAAGGTTGCAAAACTGGTTAGGCGCCGAGGACGAGCCTTGGAGCCAATTTATTTATTTATTTTTTAATTTTTTAATTTTAAAAAAAAAATTAAATTTAAAATTGTGAAATTCACTAATAAAACATACGGTTCCTCTAGTTTTTTCTTACAAATTATTTACATAAGTGGTTGTAAAATCGTTTTGAATATTGTTGAAACCATCTGAATACATAAAAAATTAAAATTAAGAGCAAAAGAAGCATTTTTTTTGGCGAAATTAAAGGACCAAACCGCTATTATCACGTACGCATAGCAACACCGTCTAAAGGCAGTGAAGCCATGAATCCATCTTCATATCTACACCATATTTGGTTACAACTTATACATCACTTGGTAGACATTTTTTAGGATGGTGGTAGATGTATGATTAACATCTGCAGCCACATTATCAAAGTAGAGAGCATTTCTCGTCCACCATAAATGAAAAACCGAAGCCATGATTGCAAGTGCACACATTTTTGACCGAGGACGGGTTCCTCGCGAATCTTTATGGTGCCATTTGATTGCTCCCTTTATCGAAAACGTGTTCCTTGTAATGTCAACCCATTTTCATAGATTTTCCCACACCTGTTTAGAGAATGAGCAAGTGATGAATAAGTGGTTGATATTCTCCGGGGCTACTCCACATAAAGAACACTTCTTGTCAATTTCAATGAAGTTGATGGCGTTCTTTATGAGATGTCTTCCATGCAAGCATAACCATGTAGTAAAAGCAAACTTCGGCGGGATAAATCTCTTCCAAATGAACCTCATAACAAAATTATTAGGGATTTGGGGTCGGATTGCTTCATACACAGCTGAAGTGTTCAAGCCCTTCGATCCATTCCACAAGGTCAACTTGGTAATGCATCCCGTAGTATTCCAAAAATTGTGTACAAGGGAGTCTCTAACGTTTATCAAGCTGCGCATGAGGGCTGACTCATTCGATCCCGGATTCCATATCCAGAAGTCCACGTCTCGTTAGTAGAAATCATGGATCCTACGGATCCATAAAGTTTCATTGCGTTTGTGAATGTTCCAGATTGTTTTAGTCAGGAAGGCATTATTCCACTGTTTCAGGTTGTGCAGGCCAAGTCCACCCTCCTCCTTGGGCTTACATATTACGTCTCATGCTACAATAGCACTCTTACCACCCTACAAGAATTTTCAACATAATGATATTATGTGTTCAATGACTGTGGGTGGCAATGGGAACTCTTGCTTCCAGTATGCCACTGCTCTTTGGATCACCTTTGATATAAGTTCCAGTTTCCATGCATACAAGGTTGCAAAACAAGTTAGGCGCCGATTTATGTATTTATTTTTAATTTTTTTTAATTTTTTTTAAAAAATTAAGAATTAAAAATTGTGAAATTCACTAGTAAAACATAAGGTTCCTTTCGTTTTTTTATACAAATTATTTACATAAGTGGTTGCGTTTGTAGAAATCATGGATCAAACTGATCCATAAAGTTTCATTGCGTTTGTGAATGTTCCAGATAGTTTTAGCCAGGAAGGCATTATTCCACTATCTCATGTTGTGCATGCCAAGTCCACCCTCCTCCTTGGGCTTACATATTACGTCCCATGCTACAAGGACCCTCTAACCACCCCACAAGAATTTTCGACATAATGGTATTATGTGTTCAATAACTGTGGGTGGCAGTGGGAACTCTTGCATCCAGTATGCCACTACTCCTTGGATCACCTTTGATATACGTTCCAGTTTCCCTGCATACAAGGTTGCAAAACAAGTTAGGCGCCTCCTAGGCACCGATTTATGTATTTATTTTTAATTTTTTTTATTATTTTTATTGTTTTTTAACAGAAATAAAAAATTAATAATTGTGAAATAAACTAGTAAAACATAAGGTTCCTTTAGTTTTTTATTACAAATTATTTACATTAGTGGTTGTAAAATCGTTTTGAATATAGTTGAAACCATCAAAATACAAAAAAATAAAATTAAAATTAAGAGCAAACGAAGAATTTTTTTGGTGAAATTAGAGGGCCAAACCGCTATTCTCATGTACGCACAACAACACAGTCAAAAGGTAGTGAAGCCGTGAATCCACCTTCATATCTACCCCATATTTGGATACAACCTGTACATCACTTCGTAGACTTGATGGTTGATATACGGTTAACATCTGCAGCCACATTAATAAAGTAGAGAACATTTCTCGTCCTCCATAAATGAAAGACCGAAGCCATGGTTGCAAGTGCACACATTTTTGACCTAGGACGGATTCCTCGAGAATCTCTATGGTGATATTTGATTGCTCTCTTTCTCGAAACGTGTTCATTGTAATGCCAAAGGTTTTTCTTACATTTTTCCACACTTGTTTAGAGAATGAGCAAGTGAAGAACAAGTGGTTGATATTCTCTGGGGCTAATCCACATAAAGAACACATCTTATCAATATCAATGAAGTTGATGGTGTTCTTTATGAGAAGTCTTCCATGCAAGCATAACCATGTAATAAAAGCAAACTTCAGCGGGATAAATCTCTTCCAAATGAACCTCATGGCAAAATTTCTAGGGCTTTGGGGGTGGATTGCTTCATACACAGCCGAAGTGTACAAGCCCTTCGGTCCATTCCACGAGGTCAACTTGGTAATGCATCCCGTAGTACTCCCAAAATTGTGTACAAGAGAGTCTCTAACCTTTGTCAAGCTGCGCATGAGGGCTGACTCATTCCTTCCTGGCTTCCACATCTCGAAGTCCAAGTCCCGTAAGTAGAAATCATGGATCTAACGGATCCATAATGTTTCATTGCGTTTGTGAATGTTCAAAATAGTGTTAGTCAGGAAGGCATTATTCCACTGTTTCAGGTTGTGCAGGCCAAGTCCTCCCTCATCCTTCGGCTTACATATTACGTCCCTTCCTACTAGAGCCCTCTTACCACCCCACAAGAATTTTTGACATAATGATATAATGTATTCAATGACTATGGGTGGCAGTGGGAACTCTTGCATCTAGTATGTCACTACTACTTGGATTACCTTTGATATAAGTTTCAGCTTGCCTGCATATAAGGTTGCAAAACAATTTAGGCGCCTCCTATGCGTCCAGGGGGTGCCTTGCGCCTAGGGCGCAGATTTATTTATTTATTTTGAATTTGTTTTATTTTTTTTTTTACTTTTTTTAAAAAAAAAAATTAAAATTAAAAACTGTGAAATTCACTAATAAAACCTAAGGTTGCGCTAGTTTTTTCTAACAAATTATTTACATAAGTGGATGAAAATCGTTTTGAATATTGTTTAAACCATCTAAATACATAAAAAAAAATTAAAATTAAGAGCAAGCGAAGCATTTTTTGGTGAAATAAGAGGGTCAAACCATTATTCTCACGTACGCACAGGAACATCGTCTAAAGGTGGTGAAGTCGTGAATCCACCTTCATATCTACCCCCATATTTGGATACAACTTGTACATCACTTGGTAGACATTCTTAAGGATGGTGGTGGATGTACGGTTAACATCTGCAACCACATTATCAAAGTAGAGAGCATTTCTCGTCCTCCATAAATGAAATATCGAAGTAATGATTGCAAGTGCACACATTTTTGACCGAGGACGGGTTCCTTGCGAATCTCTATGGTGCCATTTGATTGTTCCCTTTCTCGAAAACATGTTCCTTGTAATGCCAACCCTTTTTCTTACATTTTCCCACTCCTGTGTAGAGAATGAGCAAGAGAAGAACAAGTGGTTGATATTCTCCGGGGCTAGTCCACATAAAGAACACATCTTGTCAATATCAATTAAGTCGATGGCGTTCTTTATGATAAGTGTTCTATGTGAGCATAACCATGTAGTAAAAGAAAACTTCGGCGGGATAAATCTCTTCAAAATGAACCTCGTGGCAAAATAACAGGGTTGTGAAGGAGTCCACGATGTCAACTTGGTAATGTATCCCGTAATACTCCCAAAATTGTGTACAAAGGAGTCTCTAACCTTTGTCAAGCTGCGCATTAGGGCTGACTTATTCCTTCTCGGCTTCCATATCCAGAAGTCCATGTCCCGTAAGTAGAAATCATGGATCCAACGGATCCATAAAGTTTGATTGCGGTTGTGAATGTTCCAGATAGTTTTAGTTAGGAAGTCATTATTCCACTGTTTCAGGTTGCACAGGCCAAGTCCACCCTCCTCCTTGGGTTTACATATTACATCCCATTCTACAAGAGCCCTCCGACCACCCCACAAGAATAGTCGACATAATGATATTATGTGTTCAATGACTGTGGGTGGCAGTGGGAACTCTTGCAACCAGTATGATACTACTCCTTGGATCAGATTTGATATAAATTCCAGCTTACCTGCATACAAGGTTGTAAAACACGTTAGGTGCCGAGGGCGTGCTTAGGATCGGATTTATTTATTTATTTTTTATTTTTTTTTTAAATTAAAATTTAAAATAGAGAAATTCACTAATAAAACATAAGGTTCCTCTAGTTTTTTTCTTACAAATTATTTTCATAAGTGGTTGTAAAATTTTTTTGAATATTGTTGAAACCATCTAAATACATAAAAAAAAAAATTAAAATTAAGAGCAAAAAAGAAGCATTTTTTGGAGAAATTTGAGGGCCAAACCGCTATTCTCACGTACG